CCTGCACACAGTACTCCAGGTGAGGTCTCACCAGAGCAGAGTAAAGCGGAAGAATCACCTCTCTGGACCTGCTGGCAACACTTCTTTTGATGCAGCCCAGGATGGGATTGGCCTTCTGGGCTGCAGCTGCCCACTGCCTGCTCATGTCCAGCTTCTCCTCCACCAGCACCCCCAAGTCCCTTTCCTCAGGGCTGCTTTCCAATCCCTCACCCCCCAGTTTGTATTGGTGGCCAGGATTGTTCCGGCCCAGGTGCAGAACCTTGCATTTGCTCTTGTTGAACCTCATGAGGTTCACCTGGGCCCACCTCTCCAGCCTGTCCAGGTCCTTTTGGATGCCATCCCATCCCTCTGGTGTATCGACAACACCACCAACACTCATGTCTCGGTACCGCCCTGAGATCGTATTAAAATGAGCTTTGAATGAAGTCGCCTGTTTGGGGCGAATAGTTGATGGACACAGCGGGAAGAAAACAACCCCGTCCTGGTGTGTGTTCAAGCTCCTTTCTTTCCAATTCCAGGGCACGATGTTCCTGGTGGGGCTGTCGGGTGGCATCGCCACGGGGAAGAGCACGGTGGTGGCCGTCCTGCGGGAGCTGGGCTGTGCTGTGATTGATGCCGATGTTCTCGCCAGGGAGGGTGAGTCCTGCGGGGTTGATGTTTCTCCTTGAGGTTCCCCTGACAACTGGGAGGGATGCGGGAGGCGCAGACGGCAGAGGGTGCTCTGGGCACATTGGATCACTCTTTCCCTCCCACGTCCATGGAGCAGCTCTCTCAGGGGGATCGGGACGAGGATATATTTTTAATAAAGAAAAAAAACAACCCCAAACTCTCTCTTGTCCTAATAACAAACACCACGGGGAGACGGGAGGCGCAGACGGCAGAGGGTGCTCTGGGCACATTGGATCACTCTTTCCCTCCCACGTCCATGGAGCAGCTCTCTCAGGGGGATCGGGACGAGGATATATTTTTAATAAAGAAAAAAAACAACCCCAAACTCTCTCTTGTCCTAATAACAAACACCACGGGGAGATCTTGCCCTGAGTTTCCCTCTCCTGGAGTGCAATAGCTCCACGGCTGTGAAAGCCAACTTGTGGCAAAATAAATGCCCTTCTCTGTAAAGAAGGTTCCTTCAGCTGATCTGATACCCCTCCAGCTCCAGCGCCAGGACACCCATCCTGGAACACCTTGGGTGGGAAAGAGGATTTCCCTTTGGTTGTAAATACTGAGAGACTGGTCCACAAGATTACTAGTGCCTTAATGTGATGGGAGGAAAAAAAAAAAAAAAAAAGGCTCCAAATATCCCAGATCAGAGGGAATTCGGTCTGTGCTTCTGCACAGCACACCTGCCCCTCGCTGCGCTGCAAACCTGCTCTCCTGGCCACGGAAAAGACCCAAAATTCCAGAGCTGTTGCCTCCACAGGACCAGAGCAGACCCTGCTCTCCCTGATTACCCACACCATGCGGATGGGGGTGTTAACCCCCCCGTACCACCGGGATAACGAGGAGCACTCACTCCAGGAGGGGCTGCTGATTGTGTGTGCGGGAGGTTTGGGGTCTGCAGCCCAGCAGCAGTGTCATTCTGAAGTGCCTGCACCTTTTCTGTTTGGTGAAGAACTTAACCTGTAGCCACACAAAGCTGCGATGCTCTTCACATTTTATTGCACTGTAATTCCCCTCGAGGTGCAGAACATTTGCTGGAAGTGCTAAAAGCCCTCGGAGACGATAGGAAAACATGACAGATACTCGGTGTCGGTTTTCTACCAATCACTTCCTTTTTCTCCAATTCCTTTTTTATACGTGTTTATTTACTGTATGGATTTCAGCCACCCTGAAACTGGCTCCATGTGAAATTCCACGGGAGAAAGAAATTGGTCTTAAAGACTTTTATTAGCTCGGCCTGAGGTTACAACCTGTGGCAATGTTCCTGGATTTTGGAGAGAAAATGATACATGGTCTGTGGTTCTCCGTGGTTAGCCTCGGCTTGATCTTAATGAGGGCTTTATTCCTGCATCCTTTTTGTTGGTGATTTTTTTGGTGGCTTTAAAATTATATGCTGGTGTAACGTCAGAGTCCTTGCAAATACCTGTCAGGAATTGATCTCTTAGAAGGTTTCTGTGTTCATTCTCACGAAGAACTTGGTGGCTGAGGCGAAAGACAGTAAAAAAAATACAAATCCTTAGTAGCAGGCAGAGCCAGCTGGTAGCAGCCAGGCTGTATTCACCTGGTGCTGAAGTTTTCAGCTAAAATAAACCTGACGCTGGCTCTGGTCCCTTTAGGATCCCCCTGCTCCACTCCTCGCCCTGCAGGCAGTGGGTCATGTCCAGCTTCTCCTCCACCAGCACCCCCAAGTCCCTTTCCTCAGGGCTGCTTTCCAATCCCTCACCCCCCAGTTTGTATTGGTGGCCAGGATTGTTCCGGCCCAGGTGCAGAACCTTGCATTTGCTCTTGTTGAACCTCATGAGGTTCACCTGGGCCCACCTCTCCAGCCTGTCCAGGTCCTTTTGGATGCCATCCCATCCCTCTGGTGTATCGACAACACCACCAACACTCATGTCTCGGTACCGCCCTGAGATCGTATTAAAATGAGCTTTGAATGAAGTCGCCTGTTTGGGATGAACAGTTGATGGACACAGCGGGAAGAAAACAACCCCGTCCTGGCGTGTGTTCAAGCTCCTTTCTTTCCAATTCCAGGGCACGATGTTCCTGGTGGGGCTGTCGGGTGGCATCGCCACGGGGAAGAGCACGGTGGTGGCCGTCCTGCGGGAGCTGGGCTGTGCTGTGATTGATGCCGATGTTCTCGCCAGGGAGGGTGAGTCCTGCGGGGTTGATGTTTCTCCTTGAGGTTCCCCTGACAACTGGGAGGGATGCGGGAGGCGCAGACGGCAGAGGGTGCGTCTTTCTTCTGAGGTTCCCCTGACAACTGGGAGGGATGCGGGAGGCGCAGACGGCAGAGGGTGCTCTGGGCACATTGGATCACTCTTTCCCTCCCACGTCCATGGAGCAGCTCTCTCAGGGGGATCGGGACGAGGATATATTTTTAATAAAGGAAAAAAAACCCCAAAACTCTATCTTGTCCTAATAACAAACACCACGGGGAGATCTTGCCCTGAGTTTCCCTCTCCTGGAGTGCAATAGCTCCACGGCTGTGAAAGCCAACTTGTGGCAAAATAAATGCCCTTCTCTGTAAAGAAGGTTCCTTCAGCTGATCTGATACCCCTCCAGCTCCAGCGCCAGGACACCCATCCTGGAACACCTTGGGTGGGAAAGAGGATTTCCCTTTGGTTGTAAATACTGAGAGACTGGTCCACAAGATTACTAGTGCCTTAATGTGATGGGAGGAAAAAAAAAAAAAAAAAGAGGCTCCAAATATCCCAGATCAGAGGGAATTCGGTCTGTGCTTCTGCACAGCACACCTGCCCCTCGCTGCGCTGCAAACCTGCTCTCCTGGCCACGGAAAAGACCCAAAATTCCAGAGCTGTTGCCTCCACAGGACCAGAGCAGACCCTGCTCTCCCTGATTACCCACACCATGCGGATGGGGGTGTTAACCCCCCCGTACCACCGGGATAACGAGGAGCACTCACTCCAGGAGGGGCTGCTGATTGTGTGTGCGGGAGGTTTGGGGTCTGCAGCCCAGCAGCAGTGTCATTCTGAAGTGCCTGCACCTTTTCTGTTTGGTGAAGAACTTAACCTGTAGCCACACAAAGCTGCGATGCTCTTCACATTTTATTGCACTGTAATTCCCCTCGAGGTGCAGAACATTTGCTGGAAGTGCTAAAAGCCCTCGGAGACGATAGGAAAACATGACAGATACTCGGTGTCGGTTTTCTACCAATCACTTCCTTTTTCTCCAATTCCTTTTTTATACGTGTTTATTTACTGTATGGATTTCAGCCACCCTGAAACTGGCTCCATGTGAAATTCCACGGGAGAAAGAAATTGGTCTTAAAGACTTTTATTAGCTCGGCCTGAGGTTACAACCTGTGGCAATGTTCCTGGATTTTGGAGAGAAAATGATACATGGTCTGTGGTTCTCCGTGGTTAGCCTCGGCTTGATCTTAATGAGGGCTTTATTCCTGCATCCTTTTTGTTGGTGATTTTTTTGGTGGCTTTAAAATTATATGCTGGTGTAACGTCAGAGTCCTTGCAAATACCTGTCAGGAATTGATCTCTTAGAAGGTTTCTGTGTTCATTCTCACGAAGAACTTGGTGGCTGAGGCGAAAGACAGTAAAAAAAATACAAATCCTTAGTAGCAGGCAGAGCCAGCTGGTAGCAGCCAGGCTGTATTCACCTGGTGCTGAAGTTTTCAGCTAAAATAAACCTGACGCTGGCTCTGGTCCCTTTAGGATCCCCCTGCTCCACTCCTCGCCCTGCAGGCAGTGGGATTTGGCTCAGCCCCCATCCTGGCTGGTGGCCACCAGCGAGTCCTCTCCCTGCTTGACTTCTAACCCCGCGCAGCAGCCGGCGCGAGGGGAGGGTCGTGGCGCTGCATTAATGTTTGCAGGATGCTTCGATCTCTGGGGTGTCAGCCCTCGGAGGGACCTTGGGCTGAGAGAGGGGAGGGCTGGGTTTTGCTGCTGGTGGTTGGTGGTTTTTTTTCCTTCTGCAGCTGCTTTCCTGCAGCGCCGGTGGCAGGTGTCTGCCGGGCTGCGGCGCTGAGCCGCCCCGCTCGCGCTTCGGCGTGTGCTGGCAGGCAGATGTGCTGCCCGCCGAGGAGAATGAGCCTGGGTTATTTAATGAACAAAACTCATTTGAGGCCCAGCGCTGATGCAAACACCCGCCTGTGCCGGAGGAGCGGCTCTAACCTCCGGCTGTTTGATGTTATCAGTGGTGCAGCCCCACTTCAAGGCCCATCAGCAGATAGTGCGGTACTTTGGCACCGAGATCCTCTTGGAGAACGGCGAGATAAATCGTGAGGCCCTAGGAAACATTATCTTCTCCCACCCGGAGAAACGGCAGCTGCTGAACTCCATCACCCACCCGGAGATCCAGAAGGAGATGCTCAAACAGATCTTGAAGTACTTTGTGCTAGGTAAGAGGCCGTGTCCCAGCACACCGGGGCTCCTGCCCAGGCAGGATTGGTCCCTGCTCGCTCTGCCTTTGGTTTTAAAGCAGGGAGAGGGATGGGGAAGGAGAAAGGGAACCAACATTGAGTGACATCCTTTGTGCTCTGCCACCCTTGGCCTTTCGCGGCGGCGTTTGGAGGATTCGTTCCTGCCTTTCACTGCTGCCCTTCACCACCACCTTCTTCTATGGCTTAAAGAACATCCGTAAGGCCTGAGAAAAGCATTGTGAGGCCTCTTCTGAGATTACTTCCTGGATAATGTCATACCTTCCAAAATGGCCAAATATTCTTCCCTGCCCCCCCAACCTCCCCGGCCTTCAATGAAAGCTGCGGAGCCCTTTTAGTCTCGATAAGGTGAGAAATGGGCTGACAGCTGTGGTTTCCAAAGTCCCGCTTTCTCCCCTGATAAATATAACAAATACAGCTGTCAAACTTGGTCTAATCAAATGCCAGATAAGATCACCAGCTGTTTTGGAGGTCTCCGTGTAGACAGAAGGATGTCTTAATAGAGTCAGTCTGGTTTTGCGGAGCTTATCAAAGCTGAGCCCTGTGACAGCTGAATAGGCCTGTGCCGGGGCTCCGCAGGGGCCGTGCTCTGCTGCGGGGTGAGGAGGAGGAGGAGGAGGAGAAAGCACGAAGGAAGCAACAGGCAAGAGAGCCGGGAGCCAGAGATGGAGTCTTGAGCCCAGGGCTGCAGGCTCGAGAGGCGGAGGCTGTCCTGCCCCTCGGCGAGAGCACCGTGTGCCTTCAGCAGGCTGCTTTGTCCTCATTAGTCAGGTTTTAATGATTTGGGATAGCTGGATGTTGTCTCTGAGGATCGCTGTGTAAGGAAAGCTCTTATCGATCAAACTGGAGGGCAGCGAGGAGTCTCTCCGGGCGGAGATGCTGGTAAAATGGTGGCTTCTTGGATGAGAATGTCTTTGTCAAGGCTTTTATTGCCGTGGCCAGCTTGGTTAGGGGGGAATGGGTTAGAAAGAGGGGACACCGGCAAAACTGGAGGTGTTTTGTGGCTGGGGGACACACGGGGGAGCGAGGTTCTGATCTGCAGCTTTCCCCTGCCCTTGCTGTACCCCCCAGCAGTGGGCAGCTGCTACTTGCGAAGGGCAGAGGGACATGGAGAACCTGGGGTGGGCTGCAGGGCCCGGGAGGACGGTAGCTGGCGGTCACAAGCTCTACTCCACCTGGTGAAGGCGGTTTTGAACCAAACTTGGCTGATTTTGGTGAGGTTCTAGGCCCTGGGGCCGTGCCCGGAGGCCCCCCAGCCGTGTATCAGCGTCCCGGCTGTGAGAGGTCTGCAAGGACTCAAGTCTGCAAGGATTTCCTTGCTCCCCTTGGAAAAACAGAACCATTTAGCCAAAGCTTTCCAAAAAGGGAAGGGAACCAAGTTGGGAAACATTGATGTCTGCAGCCTGTGAGAAAGAGAGGGGATTCTGCTGTGGGCACTGCTCCCCTGGAGAGGCCGGCAACGACGGCGCCACTGCCGCTCTCGCCAGCCAGGCACAGCCGCGCTCGTTTGAGCTTCTCCTTTCAGCTCCTCATTATATTTCTGCAGCTTCACCTTTGGTCTGAGATCATCCAGGTTAGGGGTTGGTTTTTTTTTTTTTGGTTTTTATTATTATTATTATTTTTTTTGCCAATGGAAACTTGGAACGAAAGCGTTTCCTCCCTCTGTGAGGGAGGAGGGCAGGCGGGCTCTGCTCTCCCCTCGGCTGTAAGGGTGGAGCTGCAGAGCTCTCCCCCTTGCTTTGCTGGAGAAGATTCGTGAATCCCAGTAACGCTGTTCCCCCTTCTTTTTTGGGGGGCTGTTGTTATCTCTGCAGGCTACCGCTACGTGATCCTTGACATCCCTCTGCTCTTCGAGACCAAGAGATTGACCAAGTTTATGAAATACACGGTGGTGGTTTATTGGTAAGTGCCCCGTGAACCGTGAGGCGCTGTACCCCGATGTCCCCAAACGTGGGCAGCTGCTACTTGCGAAGGGCAGAGGGACATGGAGAACCTGGGGTGGGCTGCAGGGCCCGGGAGGACGGTAGCTGGCGGTCACAAGCTCTACTCCACCTGGTGAAGGCGGTTTTGAACCAAACTTGGCTGATTTTGGTGAGGTTCTAGGCCCTGGGGCCGTGCCCGGAGGCCCCCCAGCCGTGTATCAGCGTCCCGGCTGTGAGAGGTCTGCAAGGACTCAAGTCTGCAAGGATTTCCTTGCTCCCCTTGGAAAAACAGAACCATTTAGCCAAAGCTTTCCAAAAAGGGAAGGGAACCAAGTTGGGAAACATTGATGTCTGCAGCCTGTGAGAAAGAGAGGGGATTCTGCTGTGGGCACTGCTCCCCTGGAGAGGCCGGCAACGACGGCGCCACTGCCGCTCTCACCAGCCAGGCACAGCCGCGCTCGTTTGAGCTTCTCCTTTCAGCTCCTCATTATATTTCTGCAGCTTCACCTTTGGTCTGAGATCATCCAGGTTAGGGGTTGGTTTTTTTTTTTTTGGTTTTTATTATTATTATTATTTTTTTTGCCAATGGAAACTTGGAACGAAAGCGTTTCCTCCCTCCGCGAGGGAGGAGGGCAGGCGGGCTCTGCTCTCCCCTCGGCTGTAAGGGTGGAGCTGCAGAGCTCTCCCCCTTGCTTTGCTGGAGAAGATTCGTGAATCCCAGTAACGCTGTTCCCCCTTCTTTTTTGGGGGGCTGTTGTTATCTCTGCAGGCTACCGCTACGTGATCCTTGACATCCCTCTGCTCTTCGAGACCAAGAGATTGACCAAGTTTATGAAATACACGGTGGTGGTTTATTGGTAAGTGCCCCGTGAACCGTGAGGACCGGGACGCTGCCACCTCTCCTGGAGGCTGGAGGGGACCGGCACGTCCCTCCTGCCCCGGTGGGGGCTGAGCTGCAGCCCCGGTGTGCAGCCCTTCGATAAGGCTGCCTCATTTCCGTGTGAGAAGCGACACTTTCCGCTATGTGATCCTCGACATCCCTCTGCTCTTCGAGACCAAGAGATTGACCAAGTTTATGAAATACACGGTGGTGGTTTATTGGTAAGTGCCCCGTGAACCGTGAGGACCGGGACGCTGCCACCTCTCCTGGAGGCTGGAGGGGACCGGCACGTCCCTCCTGCCCCGGTGGGGGCTGAGCTGCAGCCCCGGTGTGCAGCCTCATTTCCGTGTGAGAAGCGACACTTTCCTTTATCCTGGTGTATGAGGGGCTTCTTCCTGAGGTTTCCCCAAAACCCAGCAGGGGAAATGGCTGCCTTTGGGCATTCCCTGACCTGTGTTCCATCGGCTGGGGCAGGCACCATCAGCAAGTTTGCGGACGATACCAAGCTGTGTGGTGTTGTTGATACACCAGAGGGACGGGATGTCATCCAAAAGGACCTGGACAGGCTGGAGAGGTGGGCCCAGGTGAACCTCATGAGG